AAAGGGGGGGGGGGGTCTTTTTAACCATTGGATTTACAGGACTTTTCCAGGTCTACATAAAAACACTTTTATATTTAGCCTGCCTCATTTATCCAGGACTTTGGGAACCTTGGTTCTGAAAAGAAAGAGAGGGGGAGAAACCGTTGTTGAGGGGGTGAATTAAAAAAAATAAATATCTTGATTTTTAGTTTTCACATATTTTAAAGCTTGTTTTGTCTTATTTTACTTCAATTTAAGTCATCTTGAGGCTCCTTGGGAAGTTTGCTGATGCCCACAGAGCCCTGGTTAACAACAACTGCTGTACACTGTTTGTGTTTGCTATGAGCAATAGTAAAAATATCACTGATTACAGAAGTAAACAGACTGTCAGTACCCAATAGTAACTAAACACACACTAAAGGGAATCTGCCCCTATGAGACGCTATTTCTGTAAACTGTCTATGCAGTTGAAATACCAGTCAGCCAAGTAGTTGTTGCATAAAACAGTTGATATTCTCAAAATAACCCCAAGCACAAGTGTGATCAAGATCCAAAGATCACTCTTAATATTCAACTCACTTTTGAGGAGCTAATAAAAAGGGTTATGAAAGAATGAAAAGGTCATATTTCAAATAGCAATTTTAATTTAAAAACATTAACCTGAGCATGTTGTCTACCTTGAGCAGGGCATGCAAATGTCAGACATATGACAGTGATTTTTATTTTTTACAATAGTATCTATTTTCCAAACTTCACATTTCATCCCACACGTTTAAAATAATCAGCTCAACAGATGCCTGTACTATACACAGACCTGTTATGTAAACAATGCAAAGTATCTATAGGCTGATATGGAAACAATCAAAACCCCAAACAGGAAGAGATTCTTCCTCCTGCCACCCACATGCACTGTGTATTTACACCTGTATGTGTGGTCCAGCAACAAAATACTCATTCAAAATACGGCTGTTAACACCCATCCATTTGGCCAGTTATTTAATTTAGTCTGCTTTTCAGTCTTATCTCCCTCCAAAAGCAGAAAAGCACAACTCTAGGAGCTCTGCTAGGAGCGTCGCTAGATGTGACATGTATACACACAGTTTGGAAGCACTGAATGTCAAGGGTTGTGGGGTGGAGCTCAAAGGTCGTCGTGAGAAGGCAGGCTGTCACTGGCCAGGCTGGAGGTGGGACTGGGGCTCAGGCTGATGGTGCTCAGCAAGCTCATGTCTGGAAGACTCATAGTGACTGACTGAACCTCACGGTCAGACGAGTCCTCATCTTCAGCATCAGACCTCTGACTGACCAGCACACTGAGAAAAACAGAGAGAGAGACATGAAGCGAGTCAGATGTAAGTTGTACATAAGACCATCAGAAGTCAATGTGGGATCGGTGTAGGTGCGTGTGCATACCCAGATCTAGTCATCTGAGATCTGTGTCCATGATACGACTTGGAAGACCACTATGAATAGAAGAACAAGCATAAAGATAATATACTAACAATAAAATCATTAAATATTCTTCAACAAGGTTCACATAATAAATGACTGATGAATTTCCACTAAGTTTTGATTAATATTTTGAATTTAGATTGCAGTTTTTAATAGTTTATTAATATTATTTTAATATATCTATCTAAACATTTTTAATACTTTATTTCATATCAGCACACATCAAGATACAGGCCAAACAGCTTACATCAATTGATTATACAATGGCCACCAAAAAACAAAACAAAACAAAAAAACTAAAAGTACAATAATAAGAAGAACTACCAAACACATGCCTAGGGAAAACAGTATACACGCCTTTGGGTGTGTAGATCCAACATCAGTTCAAAAATAGAAAAATGAAGATCTGCACTTTGGTCTCTAAAACTTCCAATTCCAACAAGGCAGCCATATAATACAAGAGTCTGTTACAAAACAGCTATTGCAGTATGGTTGCACAAACATCAGTACTTACGTGATGAACAGAATCTGCCAGGTTGCCCAGGTGCACCCTCTTCTCACACAAATCCCTCAGCAGATTGATACCTAAAAGTATGAAAAGAGTCCAAATGGATAGCTAAGCAAACCGGGTTAGAGTTACAGATCATAGCACTGTGCAATGCAAACAAACACCTTTGCTCCTGTTGAGCCAGTATTTCTGCTCCCATTGGTTGAGGAGGATGTTGAGGTAGCGTGGTTGCTCAAAGAAACGGAGGTACCGGGAGGAAGCATGAGAGGGAAAAACTCGCTCAAAATCTCCTTTACGACACAACTCGTCCTCACTCTCTGCCAGCACACGCACATCATCAGGTGTCAGCACATCCAGGATTGTTGCACAGAAATCCTGCACACAAAGACATATTTCATTCAAATGTGTGTGGAACTGGGGTAAGGCAGTCATTAGTATTATCAGTAACTACTAACTTGGATAACTGGACAATGCTTTCTTTTTAGTTTAAAGGGATAGTTCACCTTCAGTTGCTAGTCTCCATTGACTTGCATAGTGTTTTTTTTTCTGTTTTCTTTGCTCCATACTATGGAAGTCAATGGGGAACAGCAACTGAAGGTGAACTATCCCTTCAAGTGACCATCAGTGATCAATATCTCAGTATGTGATGAAGGCAGGGTGTGTTTGAGTACCTGGTCTCCAAAGCGCTGGCTCAGATAAAAGGCTCTCTTTACTTTCTCATCAGTTGAAATGTCTGATCGCCATTTCTCTCGCACTGCTCCACATAAACTGAACAAAATAGAGTAAAACTTAAGTTGGAGGCATTCAGAACTAATTTAAGAATAACAATAAATAAATGAATGATGCAATTTTACATTGCCGTTTAAAGGTTTGGGCTCAGGTAAGATTTTTAAATTAAAGAAGTTTCTTATGCTCACCATTTCTTTTTTTTATAAAATACAGTAAAACAGTAATATTGTGAAATATTATCATAATTTATAATAACCTTTTTCTATTTGAATGCATTTTAAAATGTAATTTATTCCTGTGATGGCAAAGGTGAATTTTTAGCAGCCATTACTCCAGTATTCATTGTTACATGATCCTTATTATTATCAATGTTGAAAACAACTGTGCTGCTCAATATTTTTGTGGAAACCGCAATGTTTTTATTTCAGGATTTTTTTATTTTAGGCCTTTATTTGACAGGACAGTAGTGAGACAGGAAGAGAAGTGGGAGAGAGAAGGGGGACGGGATCGGGAAAGGTCCACGTGCCGGGACTCGAACATGGGACGCCCGAAGCGCAACAGCGCTACATGTCGACAGGCTGCCCACAAAGCTATCGGTGCCAACTATTTCAGGATTTTTTGATGAAAATAACTTCAGAAGAACAGCATTTATTTCAAATAAAAATCTTTTGAACATAATTAAAGTCTTAACTCTCATTTAATGCATCCTTGCTGATTAAAAGTATCACTTTCTTAAAAAAAAAAAAAATCTTACTGACCCCTCACTTTTAAAAGGCAATGTACAGCAATATAAGTGCATACAAACATTTTGAAATACATGTAATATCAGAACTGACCTGTTAGTGGAGCTGCTGGCACTGGAACTGGATGGCGCAATGTCTTCTCTCAATGGCAACACAAAGCCAGCAAGGTTCAGCAGGTCTCGTATCATCTGACCCTTGATGCTGACATCCAGCGGTGTGTTAGAATGGAGGCTAGAAACAGACAGAGAGAGGAAGAGGAAACATTATGAGAATGATATTTGCTACAGGGCAAATCAGGATTCTGTGGAACGCAACAGCTTGGAAAAATACAATTATGAAAAGTAAATGAACATCTTTTATGGAAAAAATC